GCATCTCGCTGCACTGGAGGGAATGAATCAGATGGAGCCAGTCTGTGGGCTGGGAGGACGGCTGGGGGGAGATGACTGTGGCCTGAACAAGGCCTGGGGGGCGGCTGGTTGTCGCGCACATTCTGAGTCAGGCGCCCTGCTCACCGCTCTCCCATGTCGCCTCGCTCAGTCTCACAGCACCCCTGGGGGGGGGGTAAGTACTCGTCTCCCATCTGATGGATGGGAAAACCAGGGCTCCAAGTACAATGACCTGCCCAGGGTCACACAGTCAGTACGTTACAAGCTGGGGCTGTACCCCGGTTTTCTGACTACCGATTTAGACATTCCTAGAGCTTGAACAAGCAGGAGGTCATAATGGATTGGATACAGAGCACAAAGGAGAGAGAAGCACCGAGAGTGGGTTTCCAGCATGGGCAGCAGGTGCTTCTTGTGCAGGAACTGCAGTACAAGGGGGGAAGATGATGAGTTTTGTGGATGGTACCCGGGGGACCCCAAAGCTCTGGAGCTAATGTCTCCTGGGGTTGGTGACACCAGCTGATAGCCAATCTCGGTGGGCTGTTCGGGTGCAGAAAGAGAGGAACAGGCGCCACCCTGTTCTCCCCCATGCCATTTGGTCCCTGGCACCCTGCTGGGCAGCCCGTCATTTCCTGCCCCACCCTGGCCCCCACAGCAAACACTAACTCTGAGCCCAAATTAACACACTCTTCTCCCTCCCCTTCGTCTCCTCCTGCTCTCGTGAAAGTCTCAGCCAGACTCAGTTTCTTTTCCTGTAACACTTAGGCAAACTTCAAGACCAAATAAAGACACAAAAGTGGATCCTAGGGCAAAGCCCACAAAACAAGGACCATCCTGCGTGTCCCTCCATCAATGGGCCACAGTGGCCATGACTGTCCCTAGCCCAGTGGGCGCCAGTGCTCCCAAGTTTCACGCGCTGTGGTTTGCACCCTGTGGGAGTTCCAGGTAACGCGCGTCCTGCCAGTTTTCATGCCAGACTCCCGGACTGTCCTGCCAGAGACACCATCTGGACCAAACCAAAGGTCCGGTAACCTTCCTTTCCTCTTCTCAGGTGCCTGGCAGGCTGATGACAACGTGGTCAGTCGTCGGAACACGCAGCACCGACGCCTATCTTCTGCCAGCCTGGAGGACCCTGAGAACAGGCTCTGCGTGTGGGGTCCTTTGGCCATCTGAGAGCCCTAGCCCCTGAACCAGGGCTCTCCTCCCGCCCTCGCATCCCATCCTGGCCTCATGGCACCACGGACCTCCCGGGCATCCTCAGCAAAACACATGGAGACTTTTTAGACCCACGTGAAAGCTGGATGCTGAGGGCACCTGCCCCTTCTCCCAGGCTCATCTTCCACATCCGTGATCCTTCCTCTCTCAGAAGGGACCGGAAGCCTCTTTTCTCTTTGTGGGCTAAAGCCACTCAATGAACTGCAGCTCATGAGACCCTTTGCAGAGAGTCTCTGGAATGTTTCCACTGTATCTTGACCTTCAGGTGGAGCTGTGGTCCACAGACTGGTTATTTCTCGTGCATCTTTTTTTCTCCTTAGGAGGTAGACCAAGAAGACTCAAGAGTTTGGGTGACTTCACTATAAACACCCATCTGGCATTTTCTAGTCTCTGGGACATCATAACCAATCTGAAGCCTGCAGTTTGGGGTGGCGTTGGGGGATGACTCCTGTGAGAAGGGAAAGCCATATTGCACTGTAAGTGGGTTTTCCCTCAAAATGCGTTAGGAGCTCCTTTCTCAAGGACAAGAAGCAGTGGCAACCACCAGAAGGTCGGTTGGGAAAACAGTTCTTGCTTCTGATAGCAGAGGCTGTGCCTCGTGTGTACGTCTGCTTAGGAAGGAGGCCTTGAATCTGACAATCCCTCAGTTAAATGATTACCTACCGGGGAGTTATTTATGATCAAGTGCACTCAGGAAGGCCTGGGGCTCCATCCTAAGGGGACACTGCAAAGGTATTTTTGACGCCCTCTATGTACCAGGCACTTGTTAGGGACCGTCGTATATTATCACGTTTCATCACTACCGCCCTGGCAGGTGGCATTCTTATCCCTGCCGCCCCCATTTCCACCCCACTTTTCTTAAATAGTTGAAGAAATAGTCTGAGAGAGGGGTGGACCGGTGGTTCTCATCTGGTGCCCAGGAACCCCAAAGGAGGTTGGGGGAAGGGCTGAGCTGGGGTCAGTGGTGGTCTGGGAGGCTCCCCACCCCACCGGTTTTCCTCCCCTGTCCGCCAGATCAGCTGAGCCTGATGGGGGGAGGGGGAGGTACTGCCTTCCATAGGCTCATTAGAGATTTAGAGATATTGTTCAAACCACATGTCCACCCCACCTCAGTCCAGTGTAGGGCATATAAATAACAGCCTGAAACAGCAAGGCCGTAAGCTGTTGGGTATTCGTCTCTCAACACTAGTGTTATCAATGGATTCCTCGTAGCTCTCTGATAGATGCATTGTCTGCTGGCTTTTGGAAGAGGTGGTGGTTTCATGGAGCATGAGATTGAGAAGCAAAGTGGGATCCAACAGTTTGTGGGGCTGAGATGTGACGGAGTCCTAGGCTATGCCCACCATGATGGCCTGAATTAGTAGTTGGAATTGTTGCCCTAGAAGAGCTTTTCAGGGTCCTTCCCAAGGCCTCAAAGAGAGCCCAGTGCCGGGGGGTCTTTTGCACCTCCTGTGTGGCTGCTTTGCCCTGCCAGGTGGGTGGTGACCCTCACTGCCTGGTGGTTGTGATTCATATCCTGCCCTGGGGGTGGGCAGGGGGAGGCCTGTGGTCCTGACAGACACTACATGAGCCAAGCCTGAATCTCAGCTTCTGCCTTGAGTTCCCGCGTCCACCCGCTCTGAAATCCTGCAGTGGACTCTGCTGTTTCAGGCCCCATTTAATGTCCTTTCTTTCCCCGAAACATTCTTACAGCCCCTTTCATATTGAAGATTTGAGCAATAACCCCACTTCCTGATTTCCTTGAAGTCTGAGCCCCAGAAACACTAGGGAAGGGGGCGCTCCCTTAGCCTGGGCTGGTGGCATACAGATCCACCTCCTCTCCCGGCAGGTAGTATTCACAGTGTGGTGTTACCTGAGATGAAGGAGATGCAGGTAAACAGACGCCACGGTGGCCAGGAACCCTAAGAGGAAGCCATTGTCTTCACCCTTTCTGGAGGGTCTGTCTTCTCCCAGGAAGAGGCTCAGAGAGATTCCTCAAGGCCTTGGTTCCATAACCAAGACATACCCGGGTGAGAAATGGCCTTTCACTCCTGTTTCTCAGACAGTTCCTGCTCTCTCCCCCATCCCCTCACCTCTTTGCCCTCATTTAGCTCTTTGGCGAACAGAAATATCCCATCCAAAAGGGCTGGGATCAGGGAACAGGGCTCAGAGCCTGGTCAGGGAACAGGGCAGCTGCCCCAGTCATCATCTGGAGATGGTCATGTTGTTAGCAGTTGACCCAGAGAGAATATGACGGGGCCTGGCTTCTCACACAAGGACACAGACTCACCGGAGGCCTGGGGCTCCTTCCTGCCACACTCAGGTCGGAGCTCACCTATGAGCTCACTTCCGAGTGGTGCGGCGATCCCAGTCTTCTCACAGAGCCCTTTTTCCTTCTCCTCCCCAGTCCCATCCCACCAGAGGTCATGCCCACGCTGGGGCATCTCCTGGGCACGGATCCACACACGTTAAGCCATCTCACCTGGGGAGAGTTTGTGTCCTGTTCACCTGACCTTGGCATGCTGGTTGCTCACTTTGCCTTAGGATCTGCACACCTAGTGTGTGTAAGTATGTGTGTACTGTTGTGCCATCTGTGTACCCCTCACTCCCTGGAGTACACTCGTGGGCACACTACAGTGGGGACGTCAAGGATGCAATATTTATGGATTGCTGCATGATTCTTAAAAATGAATAAAACTGTTCACAAGGGAAGGAGAGCTGTTAACTGCGCAGTTGGCTTATTTGTGAAAGTTTCTGTCCGACTTTCTCCAGCACGCTTTTAATACTTTTACTCAAGACAAGCTGGACATGGAGGAGTGAGAGAGGGCAAGGGGTAGGGAAAGACATGTTTCTGGGTGGGAGTTGGTGTACCATCCCCCGGGCACAGCTCCTGCACAGAGGCCTGATAAGGAGCCCTCACCCCCACCCCCTTCAACCGGAGAACTTCCAACTGCAGCTCCTCAATAATTGAAGAGCAGGAAAGCTGGTGACTGGAGGGAGGCTGGGGGAAGGGAGGAGGAAGGACCACAGTCCACCGTTAGTCCGTCACTTGAAGGTTGGTGAAATGAGTGGGGCAAATGACCCCAGTAAGAGAATTTGGCAAGTCCACGGCTTTTCTGAGTTTCACCCACCGGCTCTGCTTCCTCGGCTATCTGGGAAGGAGGGAGAGCACTTCCGAAGAAGCCTCTGGAATGTCAGCTTCTGAGAATCTTGCTGAGGCCGGGGCGGGGAGGGAGCGCTTACCGGGAAACACTGGATTACCCTAGCCACCTTGGGGTGTCTGCGACCGGGGCTGCGGTTTCTGCGGACCTGAGCGGCAGGTGGCATTGGAGAGTCAGACCTGCTTGCGGGCACCAAGACGACACTCGGTCGGGAGACAGGGACAGGCCGCAGAAACGTGAGATTGCCACTCGCAGCCCAGAGGAGAGGAAAGGAAACCCCCAAGCATGCACCCAGCCTTGGCCCCCCGCGCCACAGGCTGCGTCCCAGGAGCCGTCGACACCTCTGAGCAGCCCAGATGGGAAGTGGGTGGGGCGGAGTACGGTTCCCGCGACCTCTGCGGGAGCCCCGAGCCGCGCGCCTCTCCGAGCTCTGCGCGGGGCCCTCGGGCGGGAATGCGCGGAGCCGGGACGGGTGGCGGGTAGGGAGCTGGGTGGCGCGGGAGAGGGCGGCCAGGAGGGAGTTCGAAGAGAGTTACCGCCTGAGAGAGTGGTAAGAGCCCGCGGTCTCCTTGGAGACACCCTGACCAATGGCAGAAGCGGAAGCTGTTTATATGGGCGGGGCGTCGCCATGGCAGCAGGAGAAGCCTTCCGAGCGGCTACTTAATGCCGGTCCCCGGGCCGCTGGCGTTCAGACAGGCGCCGTCGGGCGTTGGGGGCGACGAGGATTACTGGCTGGGCCCTCGAGCTGGGGGCAGAGAGCCGCGGTGGGGGTGGGCGGTAGGAGGAATTTCTTCGAGAACCTTCCTTTGGCCCGGGCTGCGCTCTGAGCCAGGTAAGGGACGGGGAGGGCTGCAGGCCGTGGGAAGGGAGGGCGTCGGTACCAGCCCGCTCTCCCATCCGTCCCCGACGGAAGTGGTGGGCCCGGGGACTGACATCAGAGGAGTTTGGGGGACACTCACTTCCCGCCCCCTTATAACTCTCTGTTTTGTTTCCTTCCTTCCCCTTGATCCCCATCCTATTATCCCTTTTCAAAGAACAGACGACCTCCCCCGCCCCCCGCCCCGTCGTACTGCCCTCCTGGACTCTCTCGCCCCATTTCCATTTGTTGTGGAGGGAGAGAGGGGGGTTAATTTCCCGCTTTGAGGGAGAAGGGGGTGGCCTCGCCTGCCCCTGCACTATTCCCTCGTTTGGCTAATTAAGTCTCTAAAAGATCAAAGAGGAAAAGAGCGAGGCGAACCCCCGTGTGGGTCGGACCACCGGGCACAGCTTCTGTTTCCCAGACCTCGGCAGTAAAAGATCCTCCCCAGCTGCAGGAACGATTTTAGTAAGAGCCTCCCCCCCTCGCACACACTCTCCCCTCGGGAGTGGGGAAAGAGGGCTCAGTTCCCGCTATGGTACCCGCAGGCACCACTTTCAGCTCGGAGGAGGCTACCCCCGCATCGCGGGATGGAAGCACGCTTCCGGGAGGCTGTGTAACTGAAGCCGCGGGAGTCAGCGGGCTGGAGAGCTCGGCGGCCACCCTCGGCTCGGCTCGTGGATGTTGACCGCCCCCTCGGAGAGTCCCCGCAGATATGGCGGAGAGCTGGCTACGCGTCTCGGGAGCAGGGGCATCGGAGGAGGCCGGACCGGAAGGCGGCCTGGAGGAGTCCGACGCCCTGGATGACAGCCTGACCAGCCTGCAGTGGCTGCAGGAATTCTCTATTCTCAACGCCAAGGCCCCCGCCCTGCCTTCGGGGGGCACCGACCCCCACGGCTACCACCAGGTGCCAGGCTCGGCCGCGCCGGGGTCTCCCCTGGCGGCCGACCCCGCCTGCCTGGGGCAGCCGCACACGCCCGGCAAGCCCACGTCGTCGTGCACGTCGCGGAGCGCCCCCTCGGGGCTGCAGGCCCCGCCTCCCGACGACGTGGACTATGCTACCAACCCGAACGTGAAGCCGCCCTACTCGTATGCCACGCTCATCTGCATGGCCATGCAGGCCAGCAAGGCCACCAAGATCACCCTGTCGGCCATCTACAAGTGGATCACGGACAACTTCTGCTACTTCCGACACGCTGACCCCACCTGGCAGGTAGGGGAGGCCCTCCCTCCCTCCCCCTGCCGGCGCGGACTGGTCTCACGTCCCAGATCCGCAGGCCAAGTAGGCGCGGTACGGCCAGGGCCCCGAGAAAAGGAAGGCCGTCGAGGAAGGACCTCAAGGGAGCCCAGTGCTTGGACTGCTGCCCCTTTGACTTCAGAGAGGGAGGAGGGAGGATGTTCAGAGGGCTTTAGGGGTGCCGACATAGAGGTTCAAGTGGAAAGAACTTGTCACTCATCCAGCAGGCTCAGCCCAAAGACCAGGGCTGAACTATGCGTGGACACAGCCCCCCAGGGTAGGTTGATGGACTGAGGGACACATTTTTGTCTCAAGTCCTAGAATTCCTAGACACTACCCTACTCAAGGTCAGTTTGTCAGGGCCTGACTGGAAGCAGAGCATCGTTCCCACCAGGCTCTGCATCCTGCCTGCTTTCAGTTGGCTGGAGGGGGTCTGGGAGGGGAGAGGGGCGTGCTGTGGGGTGTGAAGGCCAGCTGTGTCCCAGTGGAAGGGCTACGGGGCCTTCCTAAAGCTGCTGTGCCAGCACCCCCCCAACCCCTCCCTAGTTTCCTGCCTACACGCCTCCCCCTCTTCTCATCAACCTCCCTGGGGGGACAATTACCTCAGCCAGGTGCTTTCCACAGGGGCTCCTGCCTCCCACACTGGCTTCATGTTCCAAGTCTCCGGAACCTGGCACAGAGCAGCCAGGGGGCCCAGGCCACCGTGTAAACATCCCAGTCTTGCCAGGGGGCACTACTCACCTGCCAGCCCCACTGACCAGGCCCCAGACCTCTGTGCCCCAGCGTGGTTTGGGCTGTGCACCCAGGCGTGAACAAGGCAGGATGGTGATTCAAGGCTGGGCACACACTGCCCTGAGCATCTTCGACCATCAGAATCAGGGGCTACTTGGGGACAGACACCCTGAGGATGCACAGATCCTTCCCTGCGGCACAGGGTCACGGTTCCTGTGGTCACAGCTATTCCACGTTTGCTTGGGCCCTGACCCTGGGGCAGGTACCATTTGTAACCTTGGTGAGAAAGCAGAGACCCTCCACCACCCCCCACCCTACCCCAAGCCTGAGAGGCCCCAGGAATGAGCGCTATGCTCTTGCCTGGGTAATAATCAACTGAGGCCTCAGAGCCTGGGGTGGGAGGAGGGGGACATGGGGGGTGAGGGCCCAGGCCAGCAGCCGGCTCTACAAACAAGGAAAGTCATCAGATCCTCCCACACTTCATCCCCCCCCACCCACACACACCCTCACACCCACTCAATCATTTCACAAACAGAGAAGGCCAGCCAGGCCCAGGCAGAGGGAGATGGCCGTCCAGGCCCTGGGGGAGCCAAGGCCTTTGGCCAGAGGCCGCAAGCGGCGGGGTGAGGGAGGGAGGGCAGGACAGGGTGGCACTGAGAGCCACCCTGCGGCTCAGGGCTCGGATGACTGAGCAGGCAGATATCCTGGCAACAGGGAACAAAAGCCCCCGACAGCACTCCCAGCTCCTGGTGCCCCGTGGCTGGTGTCCCAGAGCCTCCCGGTCGGAGCAGCGCCTCTGTCTCCCCTGCCCCCATCGGAGGGAAGGCGGTGGCGGGACTGGCAGTGGCGCTAGGAACCCCCCCATCACTGACCCCACCTACTCACCCAGCTGTCTTCCTTCTCTCCTATCTCCCTGTGTCCAGAACTCCATCCGCCACAACCTGTCCCTGAACAAGTGCTTCATCAAGGTGCCTCGGGAGAAGGACGAGCCAGGCAAGGGGGGCTTCTGGCGCATCGACCCCCAGTACGCCGAGCGGCTGCTGAGTGGGGCCTTCAAGAAGCGGCGGCTGCCCCCAGTCCAAATCCACCCAGCCTTTGCCCGCCAGGCCGCGCCCGAGCCCAGCGCCGCCCTGTGGGCCGGGCCACTGACCGTGAACACCGAGGCCCAGCAGCTGCTGCGCGAGTTCGAGGAGGCCACTGGGGAGGCGGGCTGGGGTGCGGGCGAGGGCAGGCTGGGGCATAAGCGTAAACAGCCGCTGCCCAAGCGGGTGGCCAAGGTCCCGCGGCCCTCCAGCACCCTGCTGCTGACCCAGGAGGAGCAGGGCGAGCTGGAACCCCTCAAGGGCAACTTTGACTGGGAGGCCATCTTCGACGCCGGCACGCTGGGCGGGGAGCTGGGCACGCTGGAGGCCTTGGAGCTGAGCCCGCCGCTGAGCCCCGCCTTGCACGGGGACGTGGACCTCACCGTCCACGGCCACCACATCGACTGCCCTGTTACCTGGGGGCCTCCGGTGGAGCAGCCTACCAACAGCCTGGACTTTGACGAGACCTTCCTGGCCACATCCTTCCTGCAGCACCCCTGGGACGAGAGCGGCAGTAGCTGCCTGCCCCCCGAGCCCCTCTTTGAGGCCGGGGATGCCACCCTGGCCTCTGACCTGCATGACTGGGCCAGCATGGGCGCCTTCTTGTAAGAAGCCAGGCCCTGCCCCACCTCCAGACAGCGCCCAAGTCTGGGCCCAGACTGCCCCCCCACACACCAGTGCAGGCCCATGGACACCCTACCGCCCAGGCAGGGGCTGGGCCCGGTCACCCCGTGAGGCCACACGGCCCCCAGCCCAGGCCATCCTCAGATTCTAGTCCAGCAGGCTGAGAATTGGGGCCCAGAACCAAAATTGCTGCCTCCGCTGCCCAGTCCCCCATACACACAGTGTTTCATTGATCCACTTCTTCCCTGCCCCAAGGACACGCTAAGGGCCCTGCGCTATGAGAGCTGCGGCTTGGAGGGGCCCTGGCCAAGCTGGAAGCATCAGTACAGGTCCCGCCCCAGAGCATCTCAGCTTCGAAGCTTCTCTCTCTCCTGCTCTCCTCCCCAGGTCTCTATCCAGAGAAAGTTCCCAGGTACAACAAATGCTGATTAGGTGACTGCAAATTAACGCCCTAGAGGCCTCTCCCGGCAGAGCTTCCCTGGGGCTGGGGCCGGCAGTATGTGAGGCGCAGCTCCGGGGAGTGGGGAAGAGTGAGAAGACAGAAACGAGGCCGGGGTGCTGGGTGGAGCCAGGAGATTTTCTAAGGCCTCTGGGGTCTTCTGGCTTCATCCCTAGAGGTGGGGCAGAGGGTATATATCCCTAATCTTTGAGCCCAACGTGAGGCTGAGAGCAGCGGGGAGTTGGGGTTCTGGGGGTCAGGGGCTGGGGCAGCCAAGCTGCAGAGGGAAAGGGGACAGACAGACTAATGTAGTGAGTGTAGCTATAGCTGAGGCTTAACTGGGAGGGACGCAGTGCTTGCTAGAACTACCGGGACCAGGAAGCGGGGATGGCCCTGTGCCCTTTCTTGCACTCCTGTGGGGGAGTATCTTGCTCCACCCTAAGCCCCCTGGGCTGCATTCCACATCCACCCTCCTGCCCCATTGGGCAATTTAACCTTTTTCATGGAAAGTTATTTACAATAAAAAAATTTTTAAAAATAAAGTTTTAAAAAATCTCAAAATGAACCTGCTTGCAACTTTCTCTGGGGAAAAGCATGGGCCAGTTTTGGAGAGGCCAAGGCCCAAGGGGGAATGGCTGGGAGGAAGATGGGAGGCACCAAAGGCCTGCAGAGTGCCCCCTGGTGCACTCCCCATGATCTCTGGGTCCCCAGAGAGAAAGGGGCTGAGATGCAGTCCTCGAGGGTCCCCTGCAGCCAGGGCCTCGGCACCTCTATCTGTGCAACGGGGAGACTGTACCCACAGCCCCCAGGAGCAGGCGGCAAAGGAGGCACAGCCCCGTCCCTGGCCCTGGGGACTCACAAAGGCCGAGCTTGCCCAGGGCTCGGCTCACGTCCCCCACCTCGCCCACCTCGAGGGCCTGCCCAGGCTCGCCTGCGGTCCTCGCCTGGGCCTGTGTCCAGCTCCTCCCTCCCTTGGTCCCTTCCTGAAGGGACAGGGTGTGAGGTCAGAGGGCCCCAGCCCCTGGGGCCCCACTTGCCACCCTGGGGTTCATTCACCCCGCCCAGCACCTTCCCTCCAATGCAGGTTGGGGCTGAGGGAGACCATCAGGGAAGACAGAAGACGGGGTGCCTAGACCCTACAGCTCCAGCCTGTGAGGAACCAACGTACCAGAGTTCTGATGGGGAAACTGAGGCACAGCAGATATGTGACACTCAGCAGGCATCTTTCAACCCCCTCACCCCAGCTTTGCCTGGAACCCATCTCTCCCCCGAGCCCACACCTGGCCCCGCCAGCATGCCCTTGTGGTGCACAGCCTCTTCCCCCAGCATTCACGCACGCGCGCGCGCACACACACACACACACACACACACACACAGGCACTGTCCTACACAATCCTGCCCAGCCTCCACGGGCCCCTTTCTCCTGAAGCCCCTTTCTTTCCTTGCACTGGAGGCTGGCTCCAGGCCAACCTGGCATTCCCCCGCCAACTTGCTGCTTTCACTTGCTAATTATTCCAAATATTTCAGAAGGGTGCACACACTGCAGGGCCAGCCGGGTTGGGGCCTTACCGAGCTCAGGAGGCAGCCCATCCCCTTCCCACCGCTCGCTGAGGAGGCTGCCCCAGCCTCCCTCTGAGACTCCCTTCACCCCCTAAGCAACGGCTCCCTCCCTCCCCCCACCACCCGCCGGCACTGGGGGAACATGGGGGCTCCAGCCTCTCCACTGGTCCCCAGGATCAGCCTTCAGTCCCCCGCCAAAAGGGGTATACCCTGGATTGACAGGTGGGGCCTGTCCCTGTCCCCCCTCCTCACCCTCTGCCTGGGCCCATGCTGGGGAAGAGGGGCAAGGTCAGGGGCTGGCAGAACTGCCTGCCAGCTAAGGAGAGGCTGAAGAAGCTTCTGGCTGCCACGAAGAAGCACCAGGAGCTCCTGAAAATCCCGATGCCTGGGACTAGCGTCTCTGGGGGTGGGACCCAGACGTTGGCACTTTTAAGGGTCTGTGGATGCTGCCAACGAGCAGCCAGAGCTAAGAGGGGGCTCCGAAGGGGCCGGAACACAGGGCTTCACACACCCCTTCAGCAGGCAGCGTTTGGGGGCTGGCGGTTGAGGGGGCGGGAAGCGTGAGTGGATCCTGTCCCTCCTATTCACCCCTGCCCTGGCCCTTGGCCGGGTGGCTTTTTTAAAAAGACGTTCAGTGACTCCGTATTTATTTATAGATTCAATGTAATCCCAGTCAATATATATTTTGCACCATTAACAGTAAGTTGCGGACAGGATGCCCCATGAGCACTAGAAACTTTAGCGTGTATTTCCTTAGAACAAGGACACGCCTCCATAATCCTAGTACCACCATCCCAATCAGGAAATTAACATTGACCTGGCAATCCCATCTAACCGCAGACCCCGTTCACATCTTGCAGATCACCCCAGTAATGCTCCTCTCCATTCCAACACTCCAATCCAGGACCCCGTGTTGCACTGAGCTGTCCTTTCTCTTTGGCGCTGTGTGGCTTTGAGCCCACGTCAGCTCTCTGAGCAGGTTTCACATTTCCTTCGATCTCCACTTCTGAGGTGAGAAGCCCTTCAGCCACTTCACCCTCAGGTGTGGTACAGTCCCTTCCCAGAGCAAGAAGCCACCTTTCTGTCTCTTAACTTTCCACCTCTTTCCTCCCCTCCCTCCCCCATGTATCTCCAGCCAGGAAAGGGATGAGGGGGAAAGGGCAGGAACTCAGACTTTGGGGACCCTCCCCGTCTGCCCAGAGTACATCCTGTTCCACGGGACAGGCCACCCCCAGCTCCGGTGACTGGAAGGCCCCCGGGATGGGATTCCATGCTGGCCTGGAGCAAATGCACCAGGCCTCCTGAAGAGCTGAGCTGAGGGCAGGAAACACTCTTCTGCCTGCCTCTGCCCCCCTCAACATACTGGGGATCCAGACTTGCAGAAGGAGGCAGGTGAGCTGGAGGGCAGGAAAGAAGGCCTGTGAGGGCGAGTGGGAGGAGACGGTCAGGAGTCAGGCGAGCTTCCATCCCGGGCTGAGGCCCAAAGGTAAACAGGTGTATTTGGACTCCCGGCAGGGGGGAGTGGGCTGGCCCTGCGGGGCAGGCCTGGGCCTGTCAGGGGTGGGGCTGTGGAGAGGGGCTGCATTAACAATGAGGTGGGAGAGTGGCCCCAGGTCCCACTGACATTCTTGTGTGATGAAGAGGAAAACACAGGTGACAAGGGAGGGGAGGCACTGGGACAGGGGAGGGCGCTTTTTGAGGCCACCCAGGCTGGGCCTGCGCTGGCCAGTGTGAGCCAGGGAGGTGCATGGAAGCCCTGGGGGGTCACCTTCCTCCTGGGGCACGTGTGTCCAGCCCACTCTGAGGCTCCCAGGTGGGACAGGTCAGAGGCTCCGAGACTGGAATGCTCGGGCCTGAGCTTTCTCTGTGAGTGCAGGAGCCGGAGGGAGCAGCTGAAGGGTCGGGTCCCCCAGAAGCCAACCAGGCTGAGTGGCAGGACAGGGGAGGCGGGGTACACATTAACCAAGGCGGGAGACAGGCCGCAGGTCTCGCTGCTGCCCCCCCCACCCCCCCACCACCCCCGCTCCAGCTCCCAGCAGAGCCCTGTCACCCAGATGCTGATGTGAGGGCAGGACAGCAGCCTGGGTCCAAGCCCCAGACTCCTTGCTCCTTGAAGGAAGCAGCTCGCTGAGCTCCCAGGAAAGCAAGAGTTCCAGGAACTGGGGAGCACAGGCTGCTTGCATATATCCCACCCTACCCACGGCCCCCAAGACCCTTTGAAGCCACAGTGGATTGCCGGCAGCCCTCCCAGGGCTGCTATTCGCCCAGGGAATTAAGCTGAGGCTGAGGGGCTGCCAACTGTTCTCTCCCCTTCACCCAGCCACCCCTCTGTGCTCTGCCCAGACCGCCCTGCGCCCCGCCTCCTGCCTCAATCTGCATACCAAGCCCTATCCCCAGCCCGGGTGCTTCCTGATGCCCCCAGGGGTGCAGAGCATTCAGCCAGGGGGGCCTCTGAGGAAACCCCATACTGCCCTGTTCTGGAAACAATTAAGAGGCCCCCCTTGCTGACTCTGTGGGCTTGGGTGAGGTAATAAAAGAGGGAGTAGGGCCCTGAGTGCCACCTGAAGCTTGAGTGGGACATGTGGCTGGTGCGAGCCAGGGGAGGGGGGAGGGAGAGGGGATACGGGACAAGAGGGAAGGGCTGGAGGGCAGTGGGAGAGGCCTGGCCTGTCTCACTCTCATCTGCTCCTCTGGTCCCCAACTCTCCTGGAGCCTAGGCCCTGGGAATAAGGATCACAGAGGCCCGAGATGCAGGGTTGGTGTGGTGAAACCAGCATTCAACCCCTTCACACACATATCTTTTATTACCCCACCCAAGTCCACAGGGTCAGCAAATGGCCTTTGACATGTTTGCACCCGACAACAAGGTCACCAGGTCGGAGCTGTGCCCAGCTCAGCTGTCCCTGCTGGGCCCGCCCCACCGTGCACCACGACAGGCCCTGGGGCCACTGAGCTCGACAGCTGTGGAGCCCAGCTACTCAGGGTCCAAGCTGGGACTGGGAGCTCTGTGAAGGGCCCGGGAGCCCCTACTGCCTGCTGTTTGGCTAAAGATGAAGCCCGGCCTGATGGAGATGGCCCGAGAGGCTGGGCCCAGAGCTGGCACCGTGCCACAAGGCCGGGTGGGCTTGGGCCCACAGTTCAAGGCCAGTTTTGGAGAGAAGGGTGGGGTGTCCAGGTGTGGCGGGCGGACCTCACAGGGGGCTGGGGCTCAACCCCCAGCCACATTCCCCGGCTCTATTTCATGTGTGGGTTCTATTGCGAGGGGGATTAAGGGTCTCCCAGGCAAAGAGGAAGAGAAACAGCAACTAGGCCCAACGACCTCCATGCAGGGAGAAGTGGGTCACGAAGAGAGGGCAATCCCCACCCTGGCCCCCCACCCAAACGCTCAGCTCAAAGGCCCGGCCACCCTTGGGCCCAGGAAGCTTTTATCTGAAGGACAAGTCGCCTCCCAGACCCCTCCACGAAGATGACCCGTGGTGACCTCCAAAGGGACTTGGGAAGAGACAGGTATAAGTGGCAACCAAAGACATGGCTACAAAATGAAAATGAATCCCACCTAGAGAAATGGAGGGCAGCGCGGAGCAGTGGGAGGCAGACATTTGTTGGACGCACAGGCCACGACTAATCCTATGAATCAGTAAGCGAAGCGGAACCATTTGGGGGAGGGGGGAGATGACAATGGCGTTAGTCCTGTCCTGTGGGGGTCACCCCAGGTTATGCAGTGGAATCTGCTGGTGAACAAATACGATGCTCAAAACCGGAAGGAGATAGAGCCAGGACTAGGACACAGTCCCAAGGGACCTGGTGAAGGTAAAGGCTGCAGCCCAGGTGCACAGACTCTTCCAGAAGGGAGACCAGAGAGGAGAGCAGAGAGTAAGGAGCCTGGAGAAGGGCCACCATTAGGGCAGGAGGGAGCCCCCTCCCCCACCCCCTCCCCCCTCCTTGCCCCCTACACACACCTACATGGACGCACCTGTTCCTGGCTGGCCCCGCCCC